AGACCAAAAATTTCCCTGGTCAATTCATACATTTTGTATAAACTAGAAAAGACCAAAAAAGGGGAAAAGCCATTGAGCCATTTGCTATTTCTGAAAACACTTGTCAAACAATTTAGAGGATCATTGTTCGACAGCAACGAGAGCAAGCGTCTATGTCGTATTCCGATGAAATCCGACTTCAGAACCGATTTACCAGTTTCATTAAGTATCCTGATACACTTATATCAAATGTTGTTGGAGTAAATTCCAGGTGCTCAGGGGCACCATATATACACAGACCACTACTACACTAATTATTTCTTATCTCAAGAACTAACCAAATCGAAATGTAATCTTACTGGAACAATTTTAACAAACAGGAAAGAATTGCCCAAGGAAATAAAAAAGGCCAAATTTTTCGACAAAATCATGGTCGCATATCGATGGGGCAACACCTTAGTTTTAGAATGGAAAGATAAGAGAGTTATCATTTGTTTGACTACGAGGATTGACACAGAAACGACGATGGTCAAAAGAATTACATCAGGTGGCATGGATATAATGGTCAAGAAACCCAATATTACACTCACTTCCAAAAGTTAAGCACGGAGAGGAAAATGCTAATTTCCGGAAGCTAATCAGAATTGAAGAGGCTGCAATTTGCTGCAGAGGTAGATGGAAGTATGCAAATATGTTAAAAACAACCATAAGGTAACAACCAATCACACTTTCATGTCAAGAAATATGGAAAAAAGCCAGTCTTATAAGAAGCCAACTTAGTCTTATAAGAAGCCAAATGAAGGGTTACAGAAGTTGATTGTAAGTGCTGATAGAAGGTGTTTAAAACTTTCGTACCATTTGTTTTCGAGACATACGTGTTTCTATGACCTCCAGAAGATGAATGGATTCTAAGTACTTGTGTGCTGTGTGTGCATTGAAGCAGGAAAGTTGATCACAGTTGTTGCTCTTTTCTTCAGCATTCATCATTTTGTAATTTCACATTTATGGAAACAATTCTAAACCACACAGACAGTCGTCCGAAGGTGGTCGCCCATGGGTTACAATCCCCTCGGAAGATCGATATATTGCTATTTTAGCCAAGCGGAATCGCAGAGTGACCTCCACACGTGTGACATCTATGGTTACAGCGTCCATTGGTAAGGCGATATCTGCACCTACTGCATGCCAAAGATTACGTATGAGTGGACTGTATGCCCGGGTACCTCAAGTTTGTGTTCCTCTATCTGTCCAATTTAGAAGGCATGATTACAGTGGTGCCGGAACATGTCAATTGGAATGTGTGACTGAGGCAATGTCATGTTTACTGATGAGTCAAGATTTGCTCTGGAGCCAGATGACAAGCGTTTAAGGATATGGGGTAAACAACAAACACACAATCAGTCCCAAAATATCACCAAACATCATGCATTCCAAGGCGGAAGCATAATGGTGTGGGCAGGGATTTCATTAGGATACTGCACAGACATGCACATCTCTAAACGGGGTTCTTTGATGGCTGTCCGGTATTGAGATGAAGTCCTAGAACCCATTGTGACATTGTATGCTGCAGCAGTGCAGTTGGCCTTACTTGTTTCAATGGATGATAACACACGTCCCCATAGAGCTGATATCGTCGATGACTACCTGGAGAGTGAAGGGACTGCGCATATGGCGCGGCCACCATATTCACCTGACCTTAATACCTTTGAAAATCTTTGGGATGCTCTCGGCTGTACTGTATCTTCACGTTTCGCACCTCCATCCACTCTTATTGAGCTGGAAATTGCTCTACAAGGAGAATGGTATTGCTTAATTCTGCAGTGGTTGACCACCTAATTGAAAGCATGGTCACAAGGTATAAACTTTGTATACAGATGAGGGGGGGGGGAATCACATACCCTATTAATGTCCTGCTTTTCATTTTATGCTGTTTATTTTCACTTTATACATAATTCTGTTTAAGTCTTCTGTATGTCATTATCTGATAACTTACAAAAATTTAATATTGTTTTCATTTCTGTATATAATTATTAATTTTGTTTTATGCATAAATATATATGCTACTTTCCTGCCGAATTTTGTGTCAATGAAAACACTAATTCGTCGCTAAAGACTATACGTCCCCAGTCAGCTTCATTCCAACCTGATCGAGTTAAGCACCACTGTAATCTGGCTCAACAGTGTGCAGGCGTGAGTGGCAGGTGGCATAATGGTTGGTACAAGTGTAGATTTCACTCTAGTGATGAATCAGGCATCATGACAGCTGATCTGACAATCACTCTGTCCCGTGTTGTTAGATCTGTTGTGGCCCTAGGTCGACCGCTACCATTTATGATGTTAAAATTTGCCATTGTCCGCCCATTCTTGCCAGCATCTTCTAATCGGTGCATCACTTCGACTCATATGATGAGCGATTCTCCTTTTTGCCCAACCTGCCTCTTTCAATCCAGTGATATGACATCTTTCAAACTCTGACAGTTGCTCATAATGAGCTCGAATCTTGCAGTAAGCATTTTCTTCGTCATTGAAAGGTATCCTAAATCGCAATCCTAAATGCAACAGAAATTTTTAACAACAGTTCAAGAACAGCTCCTTATATGCATCCACTGGATGCACAGGTCTGATGCGCTGGAGATTGCACTATTCATTCATTGGGCACCATATTTTAATCATTTGCATATTTGGTCAAAACATTTAAGCATACTAAATTTCAAAGCAATCGGATGATTCCTTCTTGGTTCGTTTATTTTTTGTTATAGAATGTAACATATGCTAAAAAATATTAGTCATGCTCTTTAAATATACAGATATGCATTCTGAAATGTGTTTTTAGACAATTAAAGTACATATTTGGGCTGCCCAGATGGTATAGCAGTTAGGGAAGCCTGACAGTGATACTGAAGAGCCTGGGTTCGAATCCCGAAAAAGGCATGGCTGTAACTGTCCGTCCCCTTCAAAGGAGGCGATGGTAGCCCACTATTAGGTGCCTCCACAATAAAGAGACAACCACATCTGTCCTTGTATAGATTAATGGACTGTGTTACACTGAAGAGAAGTCAAAGTGCAAACTAAGATGTTCATTTTGGAATTATAATAAAAAAGATGACTTATCCGTCGCCTTTTTTGGGAACTTTAGAGATTCAAGGTTAAACTCTTGGTTATATGGAAGGTTTAAAAGAAAGGAGTGCACAAAAAGATGGAACTGGAAAAGACCTTGTAGAACACACGTTGAACTTACAAACATATTGTTACGAAATGTACAGCCGCGGTAAGATGGCTTCCCCACAAAGCAGATTTAGGGTTCCATAAAATGGCAAGGAAAGGAAGGGTGACCACATTTGGCGACAAAATTGGCAATATACCATGGACAGATGGAGACATTCTGGAAGAAATTCTTACCGGTTTAGCCCAGAATGTTCTTGAACACCAAACAAAAGCTATAAAACTGCTGGTCCGCAGTCAGTGTGTGTGTGCCTCGTCTAGCGAGCTGATAGTCAGTCACTGAGCGAGTGTCTCAAACTCTATTGCCGAATTGGTCGTCGAGTGCATCGAGAGAGTCTTTTAGTGCATCGTTGAGTTTTGTGTAAGACTGTGCTGACTCGAGAGCTATACTCTTGTGTATCATCGAGTGCATCGTGTGGAGAGTCTTGAGAGTACGTGGAGTTCCGAGAACGACCAAGCAGAGTTGGGAGCTGTACTCGGGTGCTTTGCAGTGAAGCTGTTTCCACCGTTATTGCCTGACAGTGTGAATGCTGTGTCGCTGAACGTGTCAGCGTGTTTATAACAGTTCGACGACTGTAAAAGTGATTTTTGAGCTATATGATTAATATTGGTAAAGTATGTTTCGATACTTCATCAAGTGTCGTCGTTATTCATTCCAAATCTACGAACCCCGTACGAACGTGAAGGAAGAAAATAACGTAACAATATCTTAAAATCTTTTATGTTTTTTCTTTTTCACTTTCTTTTCTTTCTTTTTTTTTTTTTTTTTTTTTTTTTTTTTTTTTGGTATCTGTGTGTGTGAGAGAGAGATTAAAATTTAAGTTTTGAAATGTATATGATGGATATTCCCTATTTACAATTATTTTTTATTTTGAACAGCTTACAAAAATAAAATGAAGTAAAAAACAGCATTAGCTATGAAAATTATAAAATAAAAAAGTGAAGAATATTTAAAGCAGTTATGAAAAATAAAATTGATAATGCCAATTTTTTCCAAGAAAAGATTAATTTGATTGCTTTTCAGCTGCATATTATTACATAATATACTAAATAAAGAAGGCAAGCAGCAGTTGATATCACATCAGAATTTCAGTGCCAACAGATAAATTCAGTTTTCTTTTGCCTCTTTTTACGATAGACAAAATTTAAATAAAAGCTTTTTAAAATTAATTTTAAGATTATTATTTAAAATTTACACAAAAAACATGAATTGAAAAACTAGAAAATTTCAGCAGTTCATAGATATTAAAAAACGTTCATCAATTCCTTCCATGAAATAATTTTTTTTTTTTTTTCCTGCAGGAAGCAAAAAAAGTCAATAGAGAACTTTGTAAAATTTCATACTATAAAATTCATAAAATATTTTTCTATGGAAAAAGTACGCAACTAAAATTCACAGAATAAGGCTGAAAAGAAGCAAAATACATATGCTATAAAAGAAATTTCAGAAGATGAAGAAATTTACCACACTGCATTTTATTTAATTGTGCACAGCAGGAATGAAAAAGTGAGCAATAGACACTTTTGGTATTAATATATATAAATGTGTTTAAGTGACTAATAGTTTTAATAAACATATTTTGGATACTTACCAAAACAAAATATACTTTTTTTTTTTTTAATTTCTAAATCTTAGTCAACTTTTCATTTTAATAATTTTTTTAGTTTTGTGTAACAGTTTTGCAAAACATGGCTTTTTCTTGGAACACAATCACCATGTTATACAGGGTTTACATGAATCAATAAAAATATAAAGCAAAGAAATAAAACTTCAAAAAGAAAATTATTATTTGAACTACCGATTTTACGTTTTCCCCTTGTTCTGATTTTTGTTGTTTTTTCCTTTCCTTCCTTCTCTGAAAATAAAGCATTTAAAACTCGTAATTTATCCAGATTATAAGTAAATGATAAAACTGGTTCTTCAAAGTAAATTTAACTTTTTATTTTATGATAGTCACCAAGAAGAAGTTTCGAAGGATCAATAAACACTATATATGATATTTACCTTCTTCTTAGCTCTCCTCCTTTCAGCTCTTAATTTTTCTTTTTCTTCTTCCATAATTAAGTTAATAGCTTTGTTTTCAGCCTAAAAGAAATTTACAAAATGGCTTAATAATTTGGCATCTTTTACATTTCATAATTTTCAAACTAGATAAACTGTACAATACTTTACTACTGCACACTGAGTAAATAAATTTAGAATCTAGTATAAAAAATGTTTTCATACTATATGAAAAATCTCCAATGTCAAGAAGAAAATGGATTACTTTCATATATGTGCATGCGCGCATCTATATATTGAGTCCATTTTTTCTAGATTCTCTTTATATCAAGAGTCAAGCTAAGAGAAAGCCATTCTGCTCATTCTTTTAATTCAAATAAACAAATTTCAAAGCAAACTCATACAAAAAGTTTAGATAGGAGATTAAAACAAATAATCTAATGTTGCTCAATGTCTTACTAACTGAAAGGGGCATTTTCGAAGCAAAGAAGACAAGTTAACACTGAGTGAAAGAAGATGATAGCAGTGGTACTAGAAAGGAATTATACAAAAAGAATTTGATTTGCTGTAGAAGCTTAGTCATAAGATACATGCAGATAAGCAAAATTGATTAGAAAAGTTGAGAGGAATGTGATGCTATAAGTAAAGAACCATATAAACAAGGAGATTAGCACCTCACAATAATGATCCTGCACCAGTGAACTCTGAACTCCTTCTGACTTGCAGGTTTGTTTACATGCACAAAAACACTAGTTCTCAAATTAGTATAATTATTTTATTATGAAATAGCTTAAACAGCAAACTTGTGAGCATCTTCATAAGGATGGAGCACACTAAGGTGTATTGTCGATAATAAGGGGGTCCCAATATTTAAATTATGGTTTCATAAATACAATTAATTAATACTTCATAAATAAAATTTTATGCAGAAAACAAGACCTCCTTAATGAGAGTAAAGAGTATGGCCATATTTATAACAACAATGCACAAGTCACCTTGCAAATAATGATTCACTAATTAAAAATGCTTAATCTTTCACTACTTTTAATAATCAAGTTTTAAATACCTTCACTTGTAAACAACTAACTAGTGTTAATATGAAGTAAATATCAAATTATTATGCATACTTCTTTTGGTGTAATATGCTAAGTAAAATTTTAATATCCATGCATTGTGCTTTTCTTTAAAATGACCCCAATAACAAGATACATGTCAAAGTGCTAAATAAAGCAGCTTGTTTACAACACCTTGGCAATAGCATTGTTACAAACAAGCAAAAAGAACATCGATCCAGTAATTTTCAGTTGCTTTTGCCTTGAAGTGCATAGCCATTCTTCAATGCCTTTATGCAATTCTCTATTTTTTTAAGCAACACAAACTACTGTGTACATGGAAAGAACAAGAGTTTCATTCTACCCATGTACATAGTAACCATTTTTGCTTTAAAAAACACAGAATTTTAAAAATTTGGCATAACACACAGCCTTTAAATTACATATATTATATTTATTATATGCATAAAATAGCTATTATATTCATGATGCTTTATGTATCATTTTGTGTCAGGGTTTACATTTGGTGCTGAGCGGTGCCCCATCAACAGAAGAGAATCCAGCGTATTTATTTTCCAAGTGCCTTAGTGGTTCTATATGCTGGCCCAGTATTCCAGAGGTCCGAGGTTTGATTCCCGGCAAAGGCGTTGATAATTTTTGCCGCCTAGACGGTATAGTGGTTAGGGGAGCCTGACTGTAATACCAAAGGGCCCGGGTTCAAATCCTGGAGAAGGCATGGATGTAAAATTGTCTGTCCCTTCACAGGAGGTAATGATGGCCACTATTAAGTGCCTCCACAATAAAATGGCCACCCCTTCTGGTCTTGGTAGTGGCCAATGCCGTTATAGGCAAGTGCCCGCCATTTGTAAAAAAAAATATATATATATATATATTTTCCAATGAAAACTTAGTTCTGATTGTAAGATAGTTGGTTAATTGGTGGAACTCCTGGCATGTGCCAAACACATGATTCATTTCCTACATTATCTAAATCCATACATCAGATCCACATGATTAACTTAAAATATAAAACCAGATAAAATCTCAATGTATATAACAAAGACATATTTAAAATCATTCAAATTAAATAACAAAAACTACTTTCTTTCATATGATGAAATATATTAAAAGCACACTCTTTTTCTATTACACGGTCATGAGGTAAGTCCAGACTGTTAAAATACTTTAAATGAAGACGCTTAAAATGTACATATTCTATTAAAAAATAATTAACTGATAGAGGGACATTTTGCCTTGAACAAACAGGTTTTCTCTTGCCTTTTAGAAGGTAATTATGTGTAACACAACAGTGGTCAATTCTAAGTTGAATCAAAAGGACTTCCTCTGTCTTCTTTTGGCTTCTCAGTCTTCCAATGTGGATTTTATGCTTCTCAGTTTGTTGTGAAACTGAATATCTCAAAGTCATTGTCATTTAGTGATGATATTCTGCTTGATTACAGTGCTGATATCTTTAAAAGGATTAAGCTGATTGGACAGTTCAATGGCAGACTTACCTGTGATGTCTGCCACTTCACTGCCTTTTATTCCCACATGACCATGAACCCAGTAGTAAAATACCTGATAACCATGTTTCCTAACAGTCCAGATTAGCTTCATAATATCAACTACTGGATTCTGTGTACAGGAAAATGTGTCTAGAGGTTTCAAAGCACTAAACAATTCAGGATAAATTATAAGCTTCTTGCTACATAGTTTAGAAATGAGTGATAGAGTATAATATACAGCATATAATTCAGAGGTCAGAACTGACTTTCATATCATTCAATAACATGCGATGCTCCAACATGATGATTAGTTCCCTCCAACCCATCTGAATATATAGAAATATATCTGCTATATTTACCTATGTTCAAGAAATGATTGTCTATATATATATACCTTTAGTATTTCATTCATAAAGATGGTGAAAAGCATAAAAAAGTTGGCTTGCGCTTTTTCCCACGGTGGAATTTCAAAATGCTTTACCACTTGGCTATAAACATCAATCATTCTATGAACTCCAATCACTGAGCAAACCCTTACAGAGATAGAAGGCACACAAAATGGTTGTGCTTCAAAAAGATGCTCATACATTGTCATCAGGCAAAAGCACTTTACATGGGTGGTCACACTGTGATAATATATTGGAATAATAATGAAGAGACAGTTGCTCACACCTCAACTGAAATCACGGTTTATAGTAATAAATACATAAATTTCAATGGACTGGAGATGTTCTAAACATTCTGGAACAGATCCGCAAAGCCTAAGTGATACAGAGGATCATGTTTTAATAAAATAGATGGTCATGCGAAACCATAATCCAGTTTTGAGTGCATAAGTGTTCTACAGATTCGAAGCAATGATCCATGCCCCAAGAGACATACAAAGACATCTGACTATGGCTGTTTTTACAATATATAAGTCCCCTATTATGATAAAGAATACAGGCAGCTGCTCTTTCAGATCATTTAAATCTCGCCAATTGATATGGTGATTTGGAGGCAAAATACACTGAACAAACGGGAACTAAGTTCCATATATTTATTCGAACTTCAACAGCTTAGAGGCATGTGGTTCAAGAAATCAAACTGAGAGATGTCAAGTAAGGTGATGAGATTTAGACCTCTGCTGACATGCTTACCTACCAGATTACCTTTCCTAGCTAATAAACACCTCTGAAGCTTATAATGTTGTTCCCACTTGAGCATGATTTTCGGAATCACCAAGCATATAGGGTGATGTAATCGATCAAATCTTTGACGTTAAGACGATTTGGGAGAAAGCCATGACAATTCCATCAAACAATTGTGGCCATTATGACTGATGGTTGGTTTTTCCATAGAAATAGATTTTTCATGATTTATAGTCCCTCTTCCCCATCTATCTCAGAATCTACGTAATCTGAACTTATGCTCTCCTAGGAGTCCTAAGAGGTTTATTAATTTCATTTCTTCTTTAATATTTTCAGTTTGATTAGGCTTTGGTTTTACTATTATTACAGATGAACAGATTTCTGAGCTATCTTTTCTTGTATGTTTTGAATGGGCTGCTTATTTTGTATACAAGTTGATTGTTGAGTGCCTATTGATTTAACCAATTTCACTATGTTTGCATAAAATACAGCTTTCCATGGCAGTATCTCTGCTACCAACCTTCTGCTTTGAAAACATAAAATGTTTCTTGTAACTTTTATCACCTACAGCTGCTCTCCTGATTTCCATTTTCGGGACAGTCAAGAAAATATGTGCTTACTTTGCCATTTACATATAGTAGTTTGGCATTGCAATTTATCATTAATATAGCCTTCCAAAGAGCAACGAGCAGATGTAAGTTTGCCAAAACAAGACATTTTCAAATGGTCAAAACACTGACACTGAAAGCATTGGAAGGGTTTCAAGATATAAGGATTTACAGGGCAGTGTAAGTACCTGGCCTTAATACTTGTGGTAGATAAGCCAAGCTGAAGGTCAAGAATACATATTTTGTATCTATTTAACTGACCTTCCTTACACATCTTGATCCATCTCGCAGCACAAACATTCTTGTCAAACAGTTTTAAGACAATTTCCTCTTCTAAAACAAACAGGATGTTCATCTATGAAATTATACCTTAACAACAGTTGCGTGTTTTGTACTCTTAGATACTTACGTTGACTAGACCAAGCTTTTTTATTCCACGAAGTGTAATGAATTGAGATGGAGGATAAACAGGGTCTTGAAAACACAATCCTATTCTGGAGTTCACTAACATCTGATTGCATATATTTGTGGATGACAAAAGGTGTTGGTGCATATCTCCTGTTGGACTGTTAATTACAAGAAATTGAGTTATTCCTTTATTTTTAATTTATATTTGTAGTATTTTTATTTGTAGTTTGTTTTGACTTTTTTAGATATTATATCATTGTCATTTGAATACTGTGGGTTGAATTTTCTATTTTTAGAGAAAAAGATTTGGACCCAGGAGCTCCACACAGATTCCAACAAGGGGATGCAGATTCCTGTGCCAGGGCTAACTGGTTCCAACAA